AGAATGACTGGACTAACTAAAACTGTTGCACATCTGCAATTGTGACCCTCGGGGTCATCTTGTTGTTCACATTGGTCTGAAAGTCTTTCTGTGGCTGACCTGTATGCGACTTTCATCGGTTCAGGGTTGCCTTAGTCTTAGCATGGATTGCTGATCTCTCCTCTATTGTCTGTTGGTCTACTATTGACCGAGAATCTTTCTCTCGCTATTTCTTTCTTGTACGTCAGCGATCCACACTTGTCCATACTAAATCGTACAATGTCATACCAATCGACATTTATCAACTATCTCAGTATAAAATCGCTCTTTCGAATGAAATTGTAATTCAAAACGCAAGCATCTGAGCGTTCTGATCGTCCATCGATCTGTAATATTGACGAGAATAACTAGCAATTGTGGTTTGACTTGCTGTGACCCGACTCCTGACAATGCGGTACGTTGCACACGGTACATTGCATGCGGTTTACCCACCACCCGGGGCCCACGGGCGCGGAACACCTGCATGCTATACCTGCGTGCGATGTACCTGCAGCGTCAGCATCGCCTGCAGTCATAACACAGTCGTATCCACGTCTTATGCTAGTGGCTTCACGGTACTGCGGCGCTGAGTTAACTCGGCGCACTACTACTGGATCTAACTTCTTCTTGATACAAATCGAGGGTCTCACTACATATATGGGTGAAATTTACCCATGGGTAAATAAAATTTCAATGTTGTGGCTTTTATGTTCTTTCTTCCTTCAACGTCTACTCTATAACTAGTGATGTAACGCCCAGATTTTTATTTACTATTTATGGAGCTCGACTATATTTCCATAAATATTAAGTTTCTAAATCTAATGCATTATTTATATTTATTTGAATTAAATTAAATAATTAGAATTGAAGTCTAAGCCATGAATAATTCTTCCGACTTTAATTATTAAAGTTGGAATTTTTATTTAAGTAATTCGAAGCCGAATAATTTAATTATTCGAGCTTAATTAATTTTGAGCGAATCCAATAAT